TGCAAGAGATGTAGACCAGAGAAAAGGCTTTTATTGCTGTGTCAGCATACGGCAAGGGACGCTGCATGCCCTTTCACTTAGCCAGTAAATGCTTATACATATACAGCTTCTATCCAGGTGAAATAAAGCTGTAGTAATTCAGCTAAAGAGGCCCTCATCATGGACTTCAAAGGTGCTGTACACTCTGAGATGTACAAGAAAACCAAAAGGTTGCAACCAGAGTAATCAGTAAAAAGGCCCCACACCTGTGAGGCAGACACACCTAGGCCGATACAATGAATGGATTGGCTCAGCCTGTGAGCAGTTTTAGACTGGAAGAAAATAATCCTCACCACTGAAAAAGATAGATGCTGGCTCTTATACACAGAGGCAGACTTAACCATATAGGAGAGAGTTAAGTATAATAAAAGCTTTAGAGGCTGTTCATATCTGCCAAGGAAGCCTTGAAAATAAAGTAACCTCATCCAGCATCTACCTTTCTGTGGGATTTGCGTCGTTTGGCTTCCATGCTCTAACAGGCAAGTAAAAGGAAGTTCACTTAATTAGGGCTGAAAGGACATTCCCCAGCCCCCGCTCAGGTGAGAGCAATGATAGCCCTTCAGCTTGTGAGCTCACACCCAGGTGGTGAATCAGAGTTGCTAATGGCAACAAAAACTTTTTAGCCCTGAGGCACAATAAGTCTGCAGCACTATCAAGTTTTGACCATCACGCTCAGTCTCTCCTTGTGAACCATCTGGAAACAACCATAGTATGCACCTAAAATTGGTGTGAAATAAGCCTCTAGTGCTTATGGACACGCCAATGTTTATTTGCAAAAGGAGTCTGTAAAACATTTACCGGCCTAGATTTGCCTTGCTTACACGGATAGGCTGTTGTCTATGACCCAAAGGCCTGATGCAAGTACAAAAAAAACATCCTTGGCTGATAACTCTCCTTATATATGTTCCAACACAAAAAGGAGATTGCCAAAAGCGTGACATTGGGGAAAATCCCCAATACTCCTGTGTAACACTAACCCCAGCAGTGTAGGAAGGAGTAATTAGGTTGCCTATTGTCAGGGGTTGCTGCTTGCAGATTGAAAAGGTGTTTGCACTGCAGCTCATGCCTCCAACTAGCCACATCACTGGTGGAACGACATATCACACATACAAAACGTGTGTTAAGAGGCACCACAACCCTCAGCAACCAACACCCAAAAGGAGGATCACCTCCCTAGGGCCCCCCCCCAGAGAAAGCCTTGTGGAACACCTCATGTTCATGACTGCTTGTGGCTCCATCCCTCGCCCGCTGCACTCCCTCCCTGGCGTCTGTGGATGCTGGCGCCAGGGGTACTCACCACTCCATCGCACAAAAAACTGAGGTGGTGGGGCTGTGCCGCCCCTTTTATTTTAATTGTGGATGATGTGTTTCTTGTTTGGGTGGGTGGATTCTCTCTCAGATGCTGCCCTGGAAGATGACTTGGGAAAATCTTTTAGGCTAGATGCAGTATTTGTACTTCTAAAAGGAGTTAAATGACATGTGTTTACTTGTATGTGATTAGATGCATCCGGTACCTAATGCTAGTGTTTACCAGGAGCACCGGACTTCTAAATGCAAGAGTGCAGATTAAGGCATGTAAATAAAAAGTGTGAATAGATCCATTGGTAATCATTAGATGCATATATATGCATTTAGAAAACTATTTTAAATGCATATAAAAATACACCTAGTGTGACTGTAGCCTTAGGTGACAAATCAGCAGCCAATTATTTTATATTTAGACCACTAGAAGTCCTTGAGCACTATGACTTCCAAGAGTGAGAATGGGAAAACCCTTTGCTAATAATGAAGTACTGCACTTTGTTATAAAGTGCTTTTCCTTTACATCTCATTTAATGTTAAGAAAATGTACCACACAGGTGCACTTAAAATAGAAAAAGGTGCAGGGTTTTATGAAAGTTATATTAAAACCAGTGAGCATCCATCAGTAATGATGAATACTAAGAACGGATGTTACATCTATTGTATGAAAATATCATCCAAACATAGTCATGCTTAATATTTATACTAATGTGAAGTGAGAATTCATATAGTTTATTTTCCTTAGCCATTGTTCATTGGCACTAGTATAGTTGGTTAATGTATTACCATATTGTGGTCATCTTGGTTATAGCACCATCTTTACAGTGATCCCTCCCATTTTATGATGTACTTCCTTTCTTCCTCACATTGTCATTATGGCGCTCTTACCCCTCCCCGCGGACACCAAGGAAGCCGGTCCCGGGCCCGTAGGAGGGGCAACGGAGCCCGGGAAGCACGGCGGCGGTGATGCACATTTTTATATAGGCCACCACCTATTTCACTACAGTGGTTCATTCACTTTAGGCAGCTACAAAGGTAGATTTAATTTTGAGGTCAACACATGTAGACCATTCATTTATTTATAATTGAACTACTTGCGCTGTATATTCGGTTAATAATGAATGCAGAATGGCACCGGCTATAGAGGACTACAAAACCCAGCAATAGTACATTATACAGCACAATGCAGAATACCGCCAGCTATAGAGGAATATTGCATTGCGCTGTATAATGTACTATTGCTGGGTTTTGTAGTCCTCTATAGCTTGTGGTATTCGGCATTGCACCACTGTATAATGTATTATTGCTGGGATTTGTAGTCCTCTATACAGCGCAATGCAGAATACCACCAGCTATATAGAAATACAACAAATCCCAGCAATGCATTATACATAGTGTTTAATGTATTGCTGATGGTACATTATAGCTGATGGTACATTGTGCTGTATGATATACAGCACAATGTACCATCAGCTATAGAGGAATACAAATCCCAGCAATACATTATAGAGCACCATGTGTGGGAAAGTGCAGGCTTACCTGAGCAGTCTTCCAGCAACTTGCTTCTGAGATCGGGCCTGTCTATAGGCGGCTGTCATCCCCCCCACACCTGCTCCTCACTTCTCCCAGCGTCCCTGTGCCGATCATGGATGTGGGCGGGCGGTGAGCGTGAGTCTGGGAGGAGGTGTTGATGCGGGCCGGTCAGGCATCGGCGAGCGTGAGGTGGGGAGGAGGTGCAGCGTGTGTGAAGCTGTGAACAGGGCCAACTAATGGGAAGTCGATAATCGATTGTCGATTTAGTTGTTGCAGCCCTAGATAGCTCCTCTAAATTAATTTCGACCTATTATATGGAACTTATGTCTAAAAGGTCTGGTAGATTTGACAGCCGTAGACAGCAGTGGCGGTCACTTCTTCCAGAGCTGGCGGAGGACGATTGTAGTGACTTTGGTGATGGATACATGTCTTCCGTGATGGCCTCTAGAGGCTGTTGCAGCTCAAGAGGTGTATGGGCACCTTTATGTCCCACAGGTCTGGTAGATTTGACAGCCGTAGACAGAAGTGGCGGTCACTTCTCCCAGAGCTGGAGTAGGACGATTGGAGTGACTTTGGTGATGGATACATGTCCTCAGTAATAGCCTCTAGTGATAGGCTGTTGCAGATTACATTTTTAAATCAAGTATACTACACTCCTCTATTGTATACAATTGGCCTTCGATCCAACCCATTTTGCTTCAAGCGCTGTGGTCGTGAGGCTGATTTCCTCCACTCCTTTTGGGTATGTCCACACATACTGACCTTTTTGGTCTGAGGTTACTTCTTTCATGGAAGCTAGCCTGGGTTTTCCTAACATATGTAACCCTGCATTTTGCCTGTTGGGTCTGTTTGATGAACTACCGTTGGCCTCGGGGGCTCAGACACTACTCCGCCTGCTTTTTTATTTTCTGCCAAAAAGGCTATTCTCCTGGTGTGGGGTAGCCCTAAGGCTCCCTCCCTGGGTGACTGGAAAAGGTTGGTTGATCAGGCACTGCCCCTCTATAAACTTACATATGAGCAGCGGGCAGCCCGCTCCACTTTGATCGCATTTGGGGCCCCTGGCTCTCTTCCTCTAATACAACTGTATATTTTATTTAAATGACCTCACTGCTTTGTGTTGTACTGGAGCTCCTGACATTCCTCACATTCCCTGGAATGTACCACAGCCAATTAATATGCCTATTAATTCCTTTGTACTGAATCTGTATTTTACCTGTAGCCCATATCCTCTGCTCTGGAGTTTGTTAGCATAACGTGTATGTTACATGACAACTGTGCGACAATTGTCTCCGGGTTATGTTATGATAGGTCCAATAAAGGATGGAAGCGGGAAGCTAGTCACAAACGACAAGGAGAGGGCCGAGGCGCTGAACGCTTTTTTCTCCTCAAGGTTGTCTGGATTTTTATTGTTTTTCTTATTTCTTTTCTTTTTTGTTTGTGTATAAGTAAGTTGTATAACAATTGATAACGCCAATAAAAAGCATCTTTAAAAAAAAAAAATTGAGACCTTAATGTACCAATTTAATACTTTCCTTTTCTCAGGGCCAGGTTGGGGACTGTAGTTCTCATCTTTCACATTTCTAAATGATAAAGCAATTTAAAATTTTTGTGCCCAGAGGTCATTTATGCCTAGATGCCCAGGTCTAATTATCACCATTCGTATGCATCATTTAACTTGCTTGGATTAAGAGGCAAAACATTTCCCTGGTACAGGGCATAGTGCAAGGAAACGTTTATAAACAGTGGGGTCCGGAAGGGTTTAAACATGTGGTTGTGTACTTCCCACCAAATTGCCATACTCTGTTTTTTGAGATCCTAATTTTATGCATTTCACGACTAACACTTTCTGGTATATAAATGTAGAATTATGTAGCCACTATCATTTAATTGGAAATTTCCATACCCTCTCTCTAAAACCAAAAGAGAAGTTATCTTTTAATTTTCTATAATGCCTTCATGACAGGCCAAAGTAATTTAATTTGTATAAGAGCGTTTCTTATGCTCTCTAGAATGAATAGGTGTTATGGCGCAGGACCTTTATAGTTTTATATCCTGTCCTTATGGGTCAATTCAAAACCTAGGTTCTAAACGTAACTTTTTATTATTTTTTTTAATTCTTTTATCAGATGCCTTCAATAAAGCTGCAGAGTTCTGATGGTGAGATTTTTGAAGTAGACGTTGAAATAGCAAAACAGTCTGTGACTATCAAAACAATGTTGGAAGGTAAGTTGCAAAAACCAAGCCATGTGCTATGGATTGGTGTGGGGTTTTTGTTTGTGTGGTGTGTGTGTGTGTGTGTGTGTGTGTGTGTGGCGTTTTTCACGAATAAAAGCCACTCTACTCTCTCAGACCCAATATTTCATGGGGACCACGCTGCTCAGTGTGAGCCTCTACCGGACCCAATCAACAAAATGAAGTGGAAAAGAGCTAGCACTCGTAGGAATCCTCTTAATGGCGTTTTCTTTATTGAAAAGGCATAAAAGCAGCTACACGGGGTGTTAACATGTTTTAGTGCCCTAAGGGACCTTAATCATTGCACTAGGGTCCCTTGGGGCACTGAAACATGTTGGCACCCTTTTGTAGCTCCTTTTATGCCTTTTCAATAAATAAATGCAATTAAGAGGATTCCTTAGAGTGTCAGCTCGGCTCTTTGTGTGTGTTCAGTGTCTTTCTGTTTTGTCATGTGATTTGCCTAAATCATTTGAGTTGCATACGACTGATGGAGCTAGCTTTTGGTTCAATCTTCACCCAGGAATAGCTGTATTTTTCTAGGCATACCCCAGTCCTCTGTTTATGCAGGATGCTGCTGCCTTTGATTCAGCAGTCCTGCTTGGCTGCCATTTTGAGGTCTCGGAAATTAAGATTATGTAGTACACCTAGCACAGGAAAAGGTATGCATTCTCTAATGTTTGACTTGTAGTGATCATGTACATTAGGGCTGAATCAACTAATCAATAATGAGAATCGTCAACAATTTTTATCGATTTAGTTGATTTTGGCTCCCATGTTTCTCTCTCAGATTGGAGGGGACACCAACCCCTGCAGCCGATGCCCAGCGGTGAGGGGCGTTCTTATCTACTGGGCTGCTGCAGCTCTGCTCACGTCACTCCTATATGTAATCCTGGAACCTCCCTGTTGCAGCCCATACCCGAAACCCCTTTTCCCCCTCCTTATATGGGGAGGGGCGGTGCTGAACCTCCACACCTATTCCCCCCAACTCTTATACTCCTCCCCTGTACTTAAACCCCACCACCACCAACTCCTATACCCCTTCTCCCCCCCCAACCC